AAGATGACAGGATGAGCCAATGCCGTCCAGAGTCCTCAGACAGCTCAAACACCATCCGAGTGCATGCATGTATGCAGTAATTGATTACTCTGCCGTACTACGATCACCTTGCAGACAGACATCGATCACCAAGTCATCCATCCAGCCAGTGTCCCACGCTCCACGCTCCACGAATCCTTGCTCTTAGCGGCCCCCACCGCCTAACCCCGGTTGCGCTTCTCGTCGATCAGGTCCGCTCAGCCGGCTCGTCTGATCACAGGTGATGAAGAGTGAAGAATAACTTGCAGAGCTTGGGTATGCAGCCAGGCAGCTCACCTGTTGCCGTACGGATACCACGCAGCTCCTTTCTACTTTCCACCGCGCTCGGATGTTTTGTCTCGACAACCCATCGCGCACGCGGTCTGCTTGGACCCTGCCAACGGTGGGGGAGCTCTCAGGCTTAAAGACCAAAAATTCTCGGGCCCGGCTGGGCTGTGCATTCCACGCACGGCAGGCCAAGACATGTCCATCGATTTCATCCTGGTCCCTGCTCCCGTCGCGCGGGATCCTCTCGTCTCATCCCATCAACGATCGCAGCAGGGGAAGAACGTCCGTTGTGCCTACGAACTTGCCGTCTTCGCTGCAGGTCGGAAATGTGTCTTCATCTATTCATCTACGGATACCCGTACCCGGGGTTCAACTGACACCACCAGATACCTTACATGCTTTCTCGTTCTCGGCCTGGGAAGCTCTGGCAGCATTTCTGGGCGGAGCTCTTGCCACGATGGCAGCCCCGAACGTCATCGTTCCCACGCTGCGAAGACGACGCCGAAGGCGTCTAACACCACGCACCAAAAGACGCCTCCGGGACCCGAGAGGCGCGCACCTTGCAGCAGCGTGCAGTGCGTGTGGTGCCTCGAACCGGCCGGTCTCAATTCCAAAGGGCCAACCCATGTGTGGATTCGGACGGCCGTACGCGCTTGATGCCCGCCAGATTGTTCTCTAGCTCGGTGTCGGCGCTCATCCAAACAACTGTGACCTGACCCGTGCATGTCGGGCATCCCTGAACGTTGCTTTCTGCGTGTTTGTTTGCTTCTCTGCTTGCTCTCTTCCCTTTGGCTTATTCACCCACTCAGCCTGTGCCGGAAAGATCCAAACCGGGCGTGTTGCCTAGGGTCGAGTCTCGAACCCGTCGGTGCCTCTCCGTCGACGGCCCCTTTCCCTTTCCGTCGCCCCCCCACGTCAAGCTCAAAACCCCCCAAGACGTATATACAAGCCGGTCAACCCGTCCCATCATCTGATTGTCCCTTCAGCGCCTCTTTAGCTCTCAACACTCCTCAGCTCTTCTTTGTCCTCGGTTGCTGATCCCGCCGATGATATATTCGTTGACCTCATAAGACCTGACTGACGACTCGATCAAATCCGACCAACCTTGTGGCACTTGGGAAGCCAGAAGGGGGGAAAGCGTTGGTTCGGGAGGTGAGTTGATTCCTCATCCGGTATCTGAGAAGGTACCCCAGACTCACACCCATCAAAAAGGCAACGGCGCCCACAAACATTCGCCTTTGGGAGGACAAAACCCGTCTCTCGGGAGCATCTATCCCATCAGCAAGTACGGAAATCAGCCGCATAATCAGTGGTGCACTGGTTTGAAAAGTTCTCCGCCGGATCGTCATCCTCCGAGTCACGATACCGTCCTCCAGCTTGACTTTTCCTGTTCCACAAACTCTCGGGAACCAGTGATAAAGATAGCACACCCCAAACAAGCGAACTGCAACCATCCGACAACACCACGTCGAACCTGCACGATCCCGTCTCTTACACCGCGACTTGAATTTTCTTGGGACGACTAAGGGGCAACCTTCCGTCAGGCATTTCGCCCTCCCGGGTTTGGCAAACGAGCCTGCATAGCTCTTCATCTCATCATCTGCAGTTCAGAGAACAACAGAAATCTATCGTACAACATGGCGGGCGATGTGGAATACTCATGGGCACCCAAAGACGTAAGCAACAACCATTTGGCAAAGCCCCTTTGGCCGGTCTTGACTAACGCGAGGTTCAGATCGTTTACACGGCGATTGTCGGCGTGGTGATGCTGGCTGCCATCCTGGAATGGTTCTTGTGGATCGCTGCATTTTGTTACTGCTTGTGGAAGGTCTTCCTCAAGGCCGAACATTGGACTATTAGGGTGCTGGCAGTCGTCGTTGGCATCCTGTTCACATGCTTCAGGTAAGAATTCGGCGTGCGAACCACATCTTTGGACCCTACTGACCCTGTTGCAGAGCCATTTTCCTCCCCATCATGATTGTCACTTTGCCGCTTCCTAGTGTGGTCGTTGCAGTGTGGCCTGACGCCATGGTCAAGGGCCTTCAATGGTTCGCCTTCTGGAGTTTTGCCGGTCTCTTGACCATTCCATGGCTCTTCTGCGTTTACCAACTTGTCACCAATCAGCTGGGTCGCACAAAGAGAATTAAGCAGGTTCTCGACGAAGTCTCCGCACCGAAGGTTGTAATTGTCATGCCCGTCTACAAAGAAGACCCCGACGTCCTTGTCGTCGCCATCAACTCTGTCGTCGACTGCGACTATCCGCCGTCATGTATTCACGTCTTCCTGTCATTTGACGGCGACCAGGAGGATGAGTTGTACTTGAACACCCTCGAAAAGCTAGGAGTGCCATTGACCCTCGAGACGTACCCCAAGAGTATCGACGTAACCTACAAGTCCGCTCGCATTACGGTTTCCCGTTTCCCCCACGGAGGAAAGCGCCACTGCCAGAAGGCTACGTTCAAGCTCATCGACAAGGTCTACGAGACTTATCTCAAGAGAAACGACAACCTCTTCATTCTCTTCATCGACTCTGATTGCATTCTCGACCCTACCTGCCTGCAGAACTTCGTCTTCGACATGGAGCTGAGCCCCGGCAACCACCGAGACATGTTGGCCATGACTGGTGTTATCACGTCTACGACTAAGAAGCACAGCTTGATCACCCTGCTTCAAGATATGGAGTATATTCACGGCCAACTCTTCGAGCGTACTGTCGAGTCAGGATGTGGTGCCGTCACCTGTCTTCCTGGAGCTCTGACAATGCTTCGTTTCTCGGCATTCCGTCGCATGGCCAAGTACTACTTTGCTGATAAGGCGGAGCAATGCGAGGATCTCTTCGACTTTGCAAAGTGCCATTTAGGTGAAGACCGTTGGCTCACTCACTTGTTCATGATTGGAGCCAAGAAGCGGTATCAAATCCAAATGTGCACTTCGGCCTTCTGCAAAACTGAGGCTGTCCAGACTTACAGGTCTCTTATCAAGCAGCGTCGGCGTTGGTTTTTGGGTTTCATCACCAACGAGGTATGCATGCTTACTGACTGGCGTCTTTGGAGACGTTATCCCCTTCTGGTTCTTGTCCGCTTTATGCAAAACACTATCCGTACTACGGCCCTCTTGTTCTTCATCATGGTCCTTGCCATCATCACGACATCCAAGAAAGTTGAGAACCTGCCGGTCGGATTCATCGCCATCTCCCTGGGTTTGAACTGGCTGATGATGTTGTACTTCGGTGCCAAGCTGAGGAGATTCAAGATCTGGCTGTACCCCATCATGTTCATCCTGAATCCCTTCTTCAACTGGTTCTACATGGTTTATGGCATTTTCACCGCCGGTCAGAGAACCTGGGGAGGACCGAGAGCCGACGCAGCCACTGCCGATGTTGATACCACACCTCAGGAAGCCATTGAGCAAGCCAAGGAAAATGGAGACGAACTCAACATTGTGCCGGAGAGCTTCATCCCTGCCACACAGGCTCGCAAGGAAAGTATTGCAGGTGGCAAGGGGAACATGGGACCAATGGGCCGAAAGCACAGCGTGGTACAGCCACCTTCAAACCTCGAAGGACGTTTCGCAGCCAGAGAGAAGACAGCCAGTGGATGGTATGTCAACGCAGAAGACTCTCCGGTCACCGTCAACCGGTCCGGGCCAAGCGGGTTCGGGCCGGCGTGGGCCTTGCAGTCGCGCGACTCGTTCGACAGTATGGTGTCGTCGCAGACCGCTGGCAACTCGGTCTATGTTCCTCGACGTGTGGAGAGTATCATGGGCGACGAAGACCGCAAGAAGTACGAAATGGCACAGCAGAGCCAGTTCAACCAGTTCTTGGCCAATTCTAAGCGATTCGGCGGACAGCAGGCTTCGGGTCAGGTGTACGAGTACTCCGAGTCGGAAATGAAGAGAGCTGGATACCATGACGCTGATCCATTGGAAGGGGGCCCCTACACAGACAACGTGAGGTTGGGAAACGTTGATAATCGGCCAAAGTCTGGCGAAGGTCGTCAAGGCCTAGCCGCGTCACACTCGGCACGAAGCGGCCGGAGCCCTCTGGCACGTGCCAGTCTCGTTCGCACAAGCCCGCTGGAAGACGTTCAGAGTGAGGGAGAGAGCTCCAGCAACGGCGGTGGGCCCAGCCGAGACCACTCCCCCAAGGGAAATGGCAGGTGAAGCAGCTGAAAACGGAGACTTAAGTGTGGGGTATGGTGAGAAGAATGGATTTATATGCATATCACTGGCGTTGGTACGGGGTTTCAGAGAAGAGTTGACAGGTAAAGAGGTGTGGGCACCATCAACATCATTCCTTTTGTATACTCACATCGTTGCGCCCACACGTCGGCCATGTAAAAGCCTGAAAGCGAAGAGTTTGTTTGTGTCGAGTTTGCGCGGCAGTCGGCGGATGATAACAATATCCGACACCTATTAGCAAGATTTACCTAATGCAATGTGGCTTCGAAGCGATTGAAATCTTGGATTGTGATGATGTTGGGTAATGAGAGGCGATGGCACAGCCAGTGGTAGGCCGAAGGAGGGAAAACCATGGTAAGCCAAGCTGCTGTGTCGGTCCTGTTCCTGGCCAGGCGGGCGGGTTCGCGTCAATATCAGCAGTATTTCGGATGGTGCTTCGAGGGCGACTGGTGATTCTCTAGGCTGTATTGGACGGCAGGTAGTATCTTAGGTAAAGTTGGGGGAGGTCTGGGGGGATGTACATGGCAACAGTCGCGTCTTTGAGGGATTGCATTACACATCGGGTGGATATCGCCAAGATTAGATTAGATAAACCGGGTGGGTTGCACTTGCATCACTGATCAGTACCTACCTTGGGTACTAAGCAGCATCACAGATGAGCTGCCCGACGCGGATGGCCTTTTCACCGCGACAAACGCTCCGGGCCCTGCGATGGCTCACGCTGTCGATGGAGCATATCTGCCAGTTTACCATTATTGCCACAGCCTCAAGTTCGGCGTTGATTCTGGTAGCTTCGTGCCTGTGTAGTTGGGTCGGAGCTATTGCGCCGGAACTCAATCTGGATTTGACAGATGAAGGATCCCTGGCCGTATCTGTACCCTGGGCGGGCGTGGCCCCGCGCGAAGGGCTGGCATGCGACAGAGGGCAGGAGCGAACTTGAAGCCTGGAGGACTCGGTCATGTCGTTGGATTCAGAGGGACGAAGGACACTGGTATCATGTGGTGTCCTTCACGGGGACCATAAGGCATCTCCTTTCCGCCATTGGCGCAACCCACAATGCTTGCCTTGAATGCTGCGTGCCTCGCCTTACTTACGTAGCAGGCTCCAGAGGCTGGAGCCAGTTGGAGATGGCCAAGTGAGGGGTGGAGGGGTGGAGGGGCAGGGCTGGAGGGGTGACGGACACCGCAGGCCTGGATCTGGGCACCTTTCCTTTGGTGAGAGGAACAGCAAAGAACGAGGGAGAATCTTCTTTCCCATTCCGCGCCCACCAATATTTAGCGGACCGACACCTGTTGAAAATTCTGGCGGGGCAGCACACGTTCCCGTCCTGCCCAATCCATGCCTTTGAAACTCCCAGCACGCAACATCCACTGAGAAGAGGCGCTTCTTGCTGTGTACGACTCACTGCCAGGACCACTGTCTTCGAACCGTACAGCGCACCTACCATCCCGGGCCTACACTGCCTACCTTAGGTACTTAGCGTTGGCCAAGTACCTCCCCACCACAGCTTCGACCGGGTGTACATCCACACACACACACACACACACACACACACACACACACACACATCTGAACTCCCCCTTCTTCTTACCTCACCGGCCCCGGTCTGACTAGCCGCTTGTTGGAGGGACGCAGCCTCTGCAACTTTTTTTTCCCACGTCCGCTCCCACACACATCCCATCCCACCTTCAGGCTCTCTTGCATATCGACAAACTCTTTAAACCTTGCATTTACCTGCGTTCTGTTTTCTCCCAACATCAACGAGACGACCCTTCGACTCGACCGCTTGCGCATAACCTTTCAGCAAGTCGGATAATCGCCATCCACGCACCTCAACCTCCCATCACTATATCTGCCTTCGCAGCAGCGCTGTTTGTGAGCAACCCCGCCACATCTCACCAACCAGAAAAGTCCGCCGGACAACCCTTGTTTACACAACCGAGTAGCACTTGAACACCGCCGCCCATCATGAGTGTCGTTGGTAAGCTGAGCGCACCGCTCCCCCTCTCGTCGCCGGTCCATTTCCCAAATGCCTGATCGGTTGCTGATGCGCATTGTCTCCTACAGGTGTCGATTTCGGAACCCTTAAGACGGTCATTGCCGTCGCCAGGAATCGCGGTGTCGATGTGGTGCGTACCCAACACTGCCTGCCCCTCCCCCTCCTCGAGGAGAGAAAAAAAGATGGACTCGCGACAGAACGACAACTGACATTTGCCCTCCACAGATCACCAATGAGGTTTCCAACCGTGCCACACCGTACGTACCTTTTTGCCCTCAAATCCTTGCAAATGCTCGAACCAGTGCAACTGATACCATTCTTTAGGTCGGTCGTCGGCTTCGGACCCAAGTCGCGATACCTCGGCGAGTCTGCCAAGACGCAAGAAATCTCTAACCTCAAGAACACCGTCAGCTGCCTCAAGCGCTTGGCTGGCCGCACCTTCAACGACCCCGATACCCAGATCGAGCAGCAATACATTACTGCCCCCCTTGTTGACGTCAACGGCCAAGTTGGCGCTGAGATCTCCTACCTGGGCAAGAAGGAGAAGTTCACCAACACTCAGCTTATTGCCATGTACCTGAGCAAGATCAAGCAGACCACTCAGGCTGAGCTCAAGCTCCCCGTCTCCGACTTGGTCATGAGCGTTCCCGCCTGGTTCACCGACATCCAGCGCCGCGCTCTCATCGACGCTGCCGAGATTGCCGGTCTCAAGCTCCTCCGCCTCATGAACGACACGACTGCCGCCGCCCTTGGCTGGGGCATCACCAAGCTCGACCTTCCCGCTCCAGAGGAGAAGCCCCGCCGTGTTGCCTTTGTCGACATCGGCCACAGCAACTACACTTGCTCGATTGTCGAGTTCAAGAAGGGCGAACTGGCTGTCAAGGGTACTGCTTTCGATCGCCACTTTGGTGGCCGTGACTTCGACAAGGCCCTCGTCGACCACCTTGGCAAGGAGTTCAAGGGCAAGTACAAGATCGACATCCACTCCAACGGTCGCGCCATGGCCCGAACCATCGCCGCTGCCGAGAAGTGCAAGAAGATTCTGTCTGCCAACCAGCAGGCCCCCGTCAACATCGAGTCTATCATGAACGACATTGATGTCTCGGCTATGATCACCCGCCAGGAGTTCGAGGCTTTGGTCGAGCCTCTCCTGACCCGTGTTGCCGTTCCTCTCGAGCAGGCTCTTGCCGATGCCAAGCTCACCAAGGACGACATTGACGTCGTCGAGGTCATCGGTGGCGGTAGCCGTGTCCCCGCCCTGAAGGAGAGAATTCAAGACTTCTTTGGCAAGCCCCTGTCTTACACTCTGAACCAGGATGAGGCTGTCGCTCGTGGTGCAGCCTTTAGCTGTGCTATCCTGTCGCCTGTGTTCAGAGTCCGTGACTTCACTGTCCAGGACATCATGAGCTACCCTATCGAGTTTGGTTGGGAGAAGGCTCCCGATATTCCTGATGAGGACACCAGCCTGACCGTCTTCAACCGCGGCAACGTTCTGCCGTCCACCAAGATTCTTACTTTCTACCGCAAGCAGCCTTTCGACCTGGAGGCTCGCTACGCCAACCCTGCAGAGCTGCCCGGCAAGATCAACCCCTGGATCGGTCGTTTCTCTGTCAAGGGCGTCAAGGCCGATGGCAAGGACGACTTCATGATCTGCAAGCTCAAGGCTCGTGTTAACATTCACGGTGTCTTGAACGTTGAGAGTGGCTACTACGTCGAGGATCAGGAGGTCGAGGAGGAGATCAAGGAGGAGGATGGCGAGAAGAAGGACCCCGATGTGAGTGTTACCACGCTTCGTTCGAAAACAGTGTCCTCCGAATCGGGAGGCTACCAGGAGTCGCCCCTGAAGCGGCGACGCCACAATGCCGACCCCGAGGCTGGTTTTTTCCCTGCTCGTGTTTCTGGAGATGCCGATGAGCCGAAGTTAACCTATAATCCCTTGCAGGCCATGGAGACTGACAACAAGGACGATGCACCCAAGAAGACCCGCAAGGTCAAGAAGCAGGTCCGCAAGGGTGATCTGCCTATTGTCAGCGGCACAGCATCGCTCTCCGAGTCCGCGAGAACCTCGCTCCTGGAGAAGGAAGCGGCCATGGTTATGGAGGATAAGCTCGTCGCCGACACGGAGGAGAAGAAGAACGAGCTGGAGGCATACATCTACGATCTCCGCAACAAGCTCGACGACCAGTACGCCGAGTTCGCCAGTGACGAGGAGAAGGCCAAGATCCGCGAAAAGCTTGAGGCGAGCGAGGTGAGTACATATTGTTATTTCCCAAGAAGTATGTTTTTACTAATCATGATTCTCAGGACTGGCTCTACGACGAGGGCGAGGACACCACCAAGGCTGTTTACGTCGCCAAGCTTGACGAGATCCGTGCCATGGCCGGACCCATTGTCCAGCGCCACTTCGAGAAGGTGGAGGAGGAGCGACGAATTGTCCAAGAGAGAGTAGAGGCTGAGAAAGCCGCCAAGCGAGCCGCTGAGGAGGAGGCTCGCAAAGCTGCTGAGGCCGAGAAGTCTGCGGATGCTCCCAAGGACGAGGAGATGACAGACGCTAAGCCCGAGGTCGAGGAGGCTGGCGAGGGCACGAAATAGAATCCCGTGAACTTGGCTGACTTCTGAACATGAGAAGCAGTTGCGACGGAGAAAAAGAAGCAACGAAGAAGATAGAATAGACCCAAGTTATGGTTTCTTTCGGGTTGGCATAGGGTTATTAGGCTAGAGCAGCTTCGACGGTTATCATGGAATGAGAGCAATGACATGACAATTTGATGATATTCTGGAATTTCAATCATGTCTACAGACCAGGCCTTCCGAGCGATGGTGGTGAGGAAGTTGAGCGCGGCTCCCCTAGTTGCTTGTCAGCATGCTCGCTACCGAGTGGCACGCACACATGGTCAAGTGCTTCATGAAAATTCTTCTCTCCATGGAAATTCATCTCTCTTCTTCTTGAATGACGACCAGGATTACCGCAAGAATGCTTTTGGAGGGAGGGCTTATTTTTGGGGGAAGGGGAAGATGTCTCTCGCACACAAAAGAAAATAAACTCTTTTCTTCTCGCAATTCTCTCCACCTTCGTGTCCATCCATCCATGTCGATGCCGTCCGTATGTTTTCCCGCCAACCTATTCATCCCTTCATGTTCATACTTCTCTTGGCCAGCCATTACACAACCCTCATGACATGTTTGTGAACCCAAAAAAAAAAAAAATGAAAGACGCAATTGTTTTGGGGGATGTGCATTTAGTGGATGTCGAAGAGAGGCTTGAGCTTGATGATGAGTTGCCACTCGTCGTTGGTAACCTCCTTGCGGTAAAACTCCTTGAGCGTGTCGATGGAGGCGCGGGAGATGAGAGAGTACAGAGTGTCAGCCTCTTCAAGTTGGCGGCCGTACGTGGGCTGAGAGCCACCCATCTCGATCTTGACGGCCACGGAAGGCTGGCCCTTCTTGCAGACGGGAATCTGCTTGTGGTCACGTTCGATGGAAGTACTGAGTAGAAATTAGCATCTCTCTGTACTTGGAAAGGGGGGGGTAAAGAACTTACACTCTGCCCAAACTGACGACTTCCTTGACACCCGTCACCGCATTCGTCTTGACGGCTGCGATAGGGGTGTTGACCTTCAACTGACCCTCCGCGACGTCAACACCGACGACGATAGGGTTCGTCTTGTTGAAGACGGCAACGGTGTTGAGGACGCAAGGGAAGACGGCCAACATCTTGGACTCCTCCTTCTTCTTCTCCAAAAGATCCGCCATGTGCTTCGTGAAGGCGTCAAAGAGATGGTAAATGATGTCTGCAGTGAAGATCTTGACTCCGACCTCGTCGGCGTAAGACTGCGCCTCCTTGTCGACCTTGACATCGAAGCACAGCATTACGGCGTAGTCTGCGGCCTTCTCCAACATGATACCAGCTTGCATGACATCACGCTTGAAAACCGGACCGATTCCAACGTTGGCGACGGGGATCTTGCAATCCTTGAGGAAGTCGAGCAAGGCCTCGAGAGAACCAAGTGTAGACGCCTGGACACTGACACCGCGGCCCGTCTTCTCGACTCTGCTGAACAGGGTGGCAAGATCAGACTCCACCTCGTCGATGAGGTCGTCCTCATCATCGTCAGGGCCAACAACCATCATACGAGAACCAGCAATGGCGCCTTCAAGACCAGGAGCGCTGATCTTGACACCCAAAGCAGCCTTGACCTCCTTGTTGTGCACGTAAGCAGACTTGAGACGGAGCTCACGCAGTGGCGCCGGCGTCAGCAGCGCACGAATATTTGTGACGATGGCTCCTTCTACACCACACAAGACTATCCGGTCACCTTCGCGAAGGATACCGTTGGACAGAATGACATCGATGGTCATGCCGAAACCCTCGATGGCCTTGACCTCGAGAACAGTGGCCTGAACCTCGGAGAGGTACATGAGAGATCCAACCATACGCTCCTGAGTCAGGTGCACAATCAGCTTGAGCATGTCGGGGATACCCTCACCAGTGTGGGCAGAAGTGGGGATGAGGGAGACGTTCTTGGCCATGGACTTGTTTTCGTAGAACAGCTCGGCGTTGAAACCCTGCTCGGCAAAGGCGAGCTTGGTCTGCTCGAGACGGTTCTTGAACTCATTCTGAACGCTCTTGGGCTGGAGAGCCAAACTCTCCTGGAAGCCATTGTTATCGATCTTCTTCCAGCCGTAGAGACGATCGATCTTGTTGAGCGCAACGACGAAGGGAGTCTTCCTGTCACGCAACATTCTCATGGACTCCAGCGTCTGGGGCTCGAGACCGTGCATGATGTCGACGACGAGAATGGCAATGTTACAGAGAGACGAACCGCGCGATCGCAAGTTGGAAAAAGACTCGTGACCGGGGGTGTCGATGACAAGGAGACCAGGGACCTTGAACTCGAACTCGCCGTTGGGATTGACAACGGCAGTCTTCTGCTTGATGGCCTCGACGGGGAAGTAAGTCGCACCAATCTGCTGAGTGATACCACCTGCTTCGCCCTCCTGGACGTTGGTCTGACGGATCTTGTCGAGAAGCTTCGTCTTTCCAGTATCGACGTGACCCAGAATACAGCAAATGGGGGAGCGCAGGTTGTCCTTGGATCTGGCAGCCAGAGCAGCCTGGTGGGCCTTTTCACGACGCTCAGCAGCCTCCTTCTTGCGCTGAAGTTCGGCTTGACGGGCGGCGGACTCTCTCTCATCCTCAGAGTCGGACTCAGATTCGGACTCCTCGTCCTCATCATCGTCCTCGTCTTCATTCTGAGCAGACTTCTCACCGGCCTTTCCGTTGGCCTTGGCCGCCTCCTTCTTCTCTTGCTCATCTTCGGTGTCAGCATCCCAGCTGTCCTTCACATCATCGTCTTCGGCGGCAGCAGCGGCCTCCCAATCATCCTCCAACTCGCTTTCTTCGGCAGCCTTCTTCTTGGCCTCGGCGGCCTCGGCCTCGGCCTTTTCTTTCGCCGCCTTCTCCTCCGCCTCCTTGGCCAGCTGCTCTGCCTGCTGCCTCGCGCGTTCGGCGGCCTCGGCGAGAGCCTTCTCCTCGTCGATCTACATTGCATGATTAGCATCAGAACCAAGGAAACCGATCTAAGGAGCCGAAGATCAGAGTCTTAGGCCATACCTGGTTTTGTTGCTTGCGACCTCCCTTCTTCTTGTTCTCGTAGACGGGCTTCTTCTTCTTCTCGCCCTCGTCGCTGGGACCGACCTTGATACCGGCAGCAAGCATTTGTTGGAGCTTGCGCTCATTGCGGGCCTTCTCCTCCTTCTGGGCTTTGGTCAAGAACTTGCCCTCCTTCTTGAGCTGCTCGATCTTCTCCTTCTCCTTCTGCTTCTTGAGGGCCTTGGCCTCTTCCCTGCGTTTGGACTCTTCCTCGAGGCGGGCTTCCTCTTCGGCGATCCGTGCCTTCTCTTCCTCGGCCAAACGGGTCTCTTCTTCTTGTTTGCGGCGCAGCTCCTCTTGCTGCTTCTGGATCATGGCCAGATGAGCAGGAATCTTCTTCTTCTTACCACCCTTCTCCTCGACAGGGGCCGGAGCAGCGGCGGGGGCCAGGGTGTCCTTCTTCTCCGGAGCCGCCTCCTTGGCAGGTTCAGCAGCCTTCGCTGGAGCGCCGCCCTTCTTCTTCGCAGCCTGCGCGACGAGTTTAGCGCGATCATGTGCAAAGCCAGTAGTTTTTGTTGAGACTCACCTGCTCCTTCTTACGCTGCTTCTCTCTCTCCTTCTTCAGCTTTTCCTTCTCAGCTTTGGTCAATACACGACCAGAAATATCATCGTCTTCGCCGGCCGGGGGAGCGGGTGCAGTGGCGGCCTGCTTGCCCTTGCCGCCCTTGCCACCCTTGCCCTTCTTCTCGGGCAGAGCGAACTCGTCGTCCATATTGGCTTCTTCGGGAGCCTTCTCGGCGAGATCGGGGGAAGCTTCGGGTTCAGGAATAGGCTCGACGGGCTCCTCAATACCCTTCTTCTTCCTCTTCTCTCTGTTCTTGCGCATGGTGGCCATCAGACCTCCCGCGCCGCCCGCATCTTCATCTTCGGCTGGCGCTTCGGCAGCAGCCTCTGGAGCGCCATCGGAGGGGGCGATGCTCTCACCGAGCTCGTTCTCCCAGTCGTCGTTGGCCCGGGCCTTGTTACCCTTCTTCTTGGGCGGCATTTTGGCGGGTATCAATTGGGCGAACTGGGATTTGAAAAGTGTGTTCCTAGATGCAAGGTGTGCCCAGAGGGGAGGGGGAGAAATGGTTGCCAGTTGTGGGCGAAGCCAGAAAATGAGTGACGGCAGAATCAATCGAAATTCCCAAGGATGTGTGGGGTAGTTCCTTTTTTTTTTTTTTTTCCCCTCTCGGCGGGCGTCTCAAGCACAAAAAGGCGGTACGGCAGCAGTTCAAGTGGCAATAAATCACGAATCCCAAGTGTGTTGATACTACTAATACAACATCCGCCTGATGGCTATTTATCCCAACGAATGTAGAAAGTCCGCCGTGGATGTTTCGTCGAGTCTTGGGAAGTGAATAGGATAGATGAAGAGAGAGTGTGTGTGTTCGTGCATCAGCACATTCACTGCGGGGCACAGGTCGTGTTTGAAAGTGTGTAGTGTGGGAAGGAGCAGGGGATCCAAAGCCCGCGCAGTGGCACTAAACGCAGTGAGTGGAGGTGCCTGGCAGCCAAGGGTTCCCCGCCCGCGCCCAACCTACCTAAGGTAGGGAAGGTAGCAGGAACCTCCATACGACTCCACTGCAGCACACATTCACACCGTACGAACGTCCATCGCTGCTCACCTCGCCTCGCGGCTGTTCCAACAGCCAAGTCTTGGGTTCATAGCAAGAAAATGCATATCACCACCTTCTTTTGTCCCTTGTTCAATCATATATAGAAGCACAATCATCGCTCTGATATCCATGGAATGGGTACGTGCAAGCCGTGTTGCGGCCTTCTTTTTAACCTAGCACTATCTTCCAAGCCATCCAGCTTGCTGGAAGAAGAGCAAGACCATTGCATCCCTGTAACTCATAGCACCGGACTCAAGTGGTATTCCAGCACGGCATATGCCAAACCGAAATACTTCGATACATCATCGTCATCTTGAAAGGACGCTGTCCACTTTCCATCGTCCAAGTAGTCCAGATACTCCCTCAAGAGGTCGATGTTGCTGTCTTCGGATATGAGCTTCTCCAGCGCTCGGTTGTCGACACACCTTTGGAGCAGATCTCCGTCTATGTGCTTCATTGTCGCAGGTGACTCCCTCACCTCCGCATCGTAATCCTCGTCATCCAGCACCGAAACCTCATAACTGTAAGGAAATAAAAGATGACTCCTTACTGCAAGGTTCTGTACGAAACGCAGAAATCGCCACGCGTGCATGTCCAACAGGCTGAAATGCATCAACGCCCCATCTAGGCACATTCCGAGTACCTCAGCTCCATCCACTGTGCTGTGTATATGTCCGTATCGTGGTCCATGATCCGTCTCTGACTGCGTCGCCAGTTGCGTCGCCAGCCACTCGGGACGAACGTGCCCACGCCCGAGCTTTCTGATGCTCACCGGCAATGAACCCTCCGCGACAACCTCCAACTCTTTGCCTCGCTGTTGCCAAGGAGTCCAGACTGCTGCGAAATCGCGGTTCATACCGCAAAGTAGAGTTATGGGCCAGGCTGCTGGTCCGTCTGCGCACTCCCCAATATCAAAGAAATCATTTGACTTTCTTGTCGTCTTGTCCATGTGAATGAGGTCCATCTGCCCACCATGGTGATCCGTCTTGTGATCTATGACCACTACCGAGTCGCCCAAAGTCAGAGCACAGATCTTGCCATTCACTAGTCGTAATGAAATGGCGGGAGAGTTTAGCTCGTAGCTCTTCTGTCGTACAAGCTTCTTCTCACCCGTGTCGAGAACTTCTGAATATAGAGTGCTCCCAGCACAGTACACAAGTCCTTCGTCGTCCCCTACAACGGAAGATATGGGGGCTTGCTCTTTCGACTTGTACCGAGTAGAGAAACGTATCCTCTTTCGCTTCTTCCCCTCCAAATCTCGATCTTCGTCAGCAGTGGGGGATAGAAGTATAAGGCGCCCTCCTCTTGTGGTGACAATTAGATAATGAAACGTCATGCCTGCTTGAGTGAACAGCCACTCATACATCCCAAGAATCCTATCACCGTGACCGCCTAGTCCGTTGACAAATATCGTTGGGTTACCGTGCTTGTCGAGTGGATACGACAAGTCTTCTCCCGTTTCGAGATCCATAAACATGATGTTCGGTTGGTCTCCCACTTGTATCGCAACAACGAGGCACTGAAGCGTCTTGGAGTAGAGCACCTTTCCGGGTGTGCCTGTCCGTAGTGGCAGACGCCTGGGCACTGGTCCGTCTTGTAGGTACAGTTCTGTGAACGAGATGCGCTCACCAGAAAGAAGTACCAATGGTATGCGATTCTCCATGATATGAGCTCTCGGTATACTGGCAGCTGAGATAACGGGTAAAGATGGCATGGCCGGATTCTTGAGGTCTGTTACCCAAGCGCGATGTCGCGTTGAAAAATACCCAGGTCGCTTAGCTTCAAAGTCCCGCAAGAGTAACAAGGCATCGTTGGAACAGACCAAGACAGCCCCTGGAACAGACTTTGCGTTGATAGGCAGAACCTCAACTGAAACAGTTCCAAGCCTCTCTCTGTAGATTGCTCGATCGGCAGGATTGGAGCCTTTCAGCTCTACCGTTATCAAATGGCCGCTTCGAGATCCCATGACCAAGTTTGTCTTCTTATCGGTTTCGGACACCACGACGATTGAATTGATCAGTTCGACAGTTGAAGATATGTCCATCGCATCTCCTTGCTCCGTGTCGTCCACTCCATCTGTAACAACGTTTGTCAACGCGTCAAAACGTTGATCGTGTGAAAAGTTCGACGTACCAGTATCCAAAGCAATCATGAGCGGCTCCTGTTGAGACCCTTCGGCCGGGTATAGAGCGAGCCAGGGTTTGTTGTGTCGCCACAAGCCAGCGACTAAACATTCCCGCCCGTCAATGCAGCAGAGCGAGAGGCATGTAACTTCTCCGTCAACAGAGTAGGTATGAGCCAGAGATACCGTTGTCTCCTTGATACGCAAGACATGGACCTGAAAGCGCGACTGTTCGAAAACTGATATACAGACACAATTACCCCTAACGACTGCATGCTCAACCACGCCATCGATATTCGGGAAATCGCCAAAGGAGTAACTTGCACTAGAACTCGTCAGACCAATTTTCGTCACGAACGCCTTTCGGACAGTGCTTTATATTTCTTAGTGCAAGTTTAGTCGGTGCTCACCTTTCGTCGCCTTGATCAGGGCCCTTGATAGCAATACACTGTTCAGTAACTTGAACAATATTCCCGTCAGAGTCCTGGGCTGCCGCCAACGTGCGGGACATTGTATCTAGCCGCGTCATAGCCGGGTCTGCCATCTCCACTTGTGAAAGGTCGGCCGATAACACCAAGACATCGGATGTTCCTGGGCTAGTAATGAGCATCTGAAGTGGCCAAGTTACATCGGAAGTCCAGAAAACCCAAGCTCTTTTCATCGGGAGTGTATCAAAGTAGGAGATTATGTTTGCAGGCAGTCCGTAGCGTAATTCAGTGATGCTGCCTTGAGGATCATTACCGGATACGCAGAGGATTTTGTCAGGAGCTGTTACATGACCCGCTGTGCGTTTTTGCCAGGGAATTACTGGCTTTCCCCGGTGGGCGGCTGCTGGATTCCAGGATACGAGAGGATCTGAAGTTGTGAAGTCGGCAGCACAAGCCCAGTTCGGAATAGGACCAAGCTGGACTATGCTCTGTCGAGGTTTGAGCTATTTCGGTGTGTCAGGCTTCATATTCTCGCATAAGCGATGGAGAAAGCATACCTGAAAGATCATCCCAGGACCAGAATCTCCTGCAACTATGGCGAAGTCAGAGTAAGCGTCGTACATGGTGGTGAAGGCGCTGGAGATGTTGCAGTCACACTCGCCCACATTCATGGAAACACCAAGGACGTCTGCCGAGTTGAACTCAAAAAATACAATGACGCCGTCTTCCCGGGCCAGATAGATATGATCGTTTGTGTCATAGTAGCCTCGTCTTCGAACAGGCCGGTCCCAGGCCGTCCAGAGCGGCACGCCAAGTCCATGATGAAAACGTGTCGTGGGGTGGTCCTTTGGATCGAACGGGTAGTGATTCTCAATATCGGGAGGGCCTTGTAGAGGATCTTTGCAGATGCCAAAGGCATTCTCAGAGATGACCAGGAAAGAACTTCTTACTGTCAACGGAATGACTAACAAAGGCAAGCGATGTTCCGGCCGTATGCGATAACCACGTTTTTCTTCGGCAAAGACACGAGCCAAATCATTGCCGCGTTCCCACTCATATATAACCATTTTTGACTTGTCGCCCTTGACAAAAATGATAAGGAGAATGACATGGCCTTGGTCTTCTGGTCGAGGATAAAGAAATTCCATCTTGAGGATCGTGCCCTGAACCGCCCGGGAGTGATGGGCGCTAACAGGGGCAATCGCGTTTTTGCGCATGTACTGATCGCTCATGGCTTCCATCGACTCAAGCTCGTAAACGACGAACTTGTTCTGCACGTCAGCTACAGCGATATAGCGGGATCTTGGATCCACAGCCACATGGAAGCCTAGGTGATGGCCCATTCGCCTTGCAGGGTTATGAAAGGGCGAGGCGACAAACTCGAGTTTGTTATGCATGTCTCTTTTGATGAAGAGGAAGACGAAGGTGCCGGTCTCGAGGACGAGGAGCAGCAGGTGCGGTGGCAGTAGACCGTGAGCGCTGATGGGACCAGAGGCGGAGGTGGAATTCACCATGTGAGTGTCGTCGTCTTCATCTTCGCTCTTGATGTGGTCGACACCAGCATCGTCGGCAGTGGTCCGGAAACGTTCATACTTGTTCCCAATGACACAAGCATTGCGGATACGACAACCGAAATCTTTCTTTCGAAGGACTTCTTGTAGCTGGCCATCTTTACGCAACTCGCTTATGCTCACATAGCGATCCTAGAGCAATTAGCGAGTGTTGAACATTAGGCTGACGTGGGGCATAAGCTGATCAGGACTCGGATTCGAGACTCACGCCGACAAAGGCAACATCATTGTGATGAGCCGATCGCAAGAGGGCAGGTAGCACCCAGCGAGCAATGGGACTTTCGATAACAGTCCTGGTAAGAATACCGCAGTCTGGCGGAGTAGGAGGTGGAGGGGCAGCGGGCGATGCGGCGGCGGCCGAACCTTTGGAAAGAACTGTCTTGAGGTCGACGGTCTCGGTTACCCAAGCCCCATCCCTGAAAACGTTTGTCTGGAAGGCCATTTCAACAGATCTTGTCAAGTAAACATGGTTGTGAGGGACCGAAAAGTGCAGTCAAGTGACGACGATGCAAAGGACCAGGGGCAGAACGTTCAGAGGGACGAGGACCGTTGATATCGCCGGGCGGTATGATGCAGTTCAATCGGGAGGAACCCGAGCTTCGAATTTGACTTGGGGCAGTGCTCTCAATCTTACACAGAGTAAATGAGTGCGTCGATGGGGCCGTACGAGGAGAAGCCGGGTGATGAATGGAACGCTGTTGCCGGCGTAAGCAACCTGGTGTAGCCGTGGGCAGGGCAGCAGACGAGGGAATGTAGTGTAGTCTTAAGCCGGCGCGAAAGTTGGGTCAGCGCGGAGTAGACTTGAGGTTACCTTAGGTTGGTTTAAGAGTTGTGTAGTCTAGTGGGGCCCCACGTTTCTCAAGCCATCGGGCCCAGGGCAGCAGGTGCGTCTACCTTACCTGAGGTTGTCTGCCTACGGTACCTTACTTACGGATAGGTAGGGGACCTTTAAACCTGCCCAACATCATTTGGGAAGTGCGTCATTTGGGAAGTGCGCAAACAGTATGGAGTCCTCAGGTGGCTGGCGGATGATTAAAAGCCTTGCCTGAGAGGCAAGTACCACGCGGACGTGTTGCTATACTGGTGCAGGAATGCCGTGATTTGGATTCAGTTGGTACTTGGTACGCCCTCTTAAAGATGAACAGACCGAGTCCCTGGAAGCTGTCACAGTGTCTGTCATCAATCAGGCGGAGCCGGGGGGAAAACAATGGAAGTCAAAAAAGCAACTGAAGCAAGCAGGCCGCTGTTGGGCCGCGAGATGCTCCCGAGCTTGGCCAAACAGTCCAGATAATCGTTCTACTTTGCATGCCCTCCCATCCTTCCCGCCCTATCGATTAAACTTGCCTACCTACCTTACCGTACGAAGCTGTCTGTGTAGTTTCCCTCAGCAGGCCTGAGGCGGGGTAGATCAAGTCAGCGACAGGGCCCTCAGCCACTGAGTGACACAGACGGCCGCTGAAGAAGCTGACCTGGCAAGTGGCATTCTAACCTTGGTACCTAGGTTCGCCTGGGTTGACCCGGTCCCGCCATCCCGTCATCCCGTCCACCCACTCCGTTCCATGTCTGAATCGGCGCTAACAAGACACCGTTTCGACAGTGTGTGGGCCGTTGTAGCTACCTAAGGTACCTACACTTACCCGGCCTGCGAGCTGACCAGGGAGAAAAAGCCGTTCATCCCAACCGCTGTCGACACGCATAGTTTCTTCTACCTGCGGCAACCGGTGAGCCACTCCCGGATGCTTCAGAGGCGACTAGACCTCGGCAGTCCTTCATTTTGTTGCCGCAATAGAAGCGAGAATATCCAAGCATCGGTTCAGCCTCCGGTCGCAAACTGTTTGGCCCTTTCCGTCGTATCAAGCCGGCTGCAGCAGACAATGGTCGGAAGGAGCATTGGCTGTGCGTGTGTGGAATCTGGCCTTGGGCGGAAGCGGGAAGATGCTGCAGGTTCATTTGAATCTCTGCCATCCTGGCTGAGATCCATGTGGACGTGGTCCATACCGTTCTCACCGGCCGGCTCGCTTGCCTTCAACCTTGCCTACTTCGAGCTCCGAATGACTCGACGTGCTTCGCGCAACCTAGCAGACGTCTGAGTTTACTTCCGGCAAACCTCTAACAGGAGGCGCTCTGGTATCTCGAGGCCGTTGTGCGTTTCTCCAAGAGCCAATCATCTCCGTCAGCACAACTTTGTTGGCAGAAAATCTCACTCTTGCCTGACGCTAGTTAGACAGCTGCGAGGGAACCAACCGGTTGTGGCTCGCCTCGTTGCAACATGGCCAAGACAACGCAGCCAGTGGCATCGGTCTTAGTTTCTCTGACGATCAAGCGCAAAGGGCTTCCGCTTCTTCTTGGAGGCTGGCGCGATGCTTGTGGATGTAAAAAAAACCTTGGTAGTCTCCAGGCAGTGTGACGGCTAGGACGACTGGCATTCGTGGCCGCCTCCCTATCTTACGGGCGTATGTCAGTTTGTATTCGAACTGAGCGAGCTACGTGCTACCTTGCATCCACTGCTGCACGCCGACTCTTTCAACCATTGCTCATGCAACCCTCCTAGCCCAGGGAGCAAGTAGGCAAAGAAGCAGAATATGGCGCTCTTAGGCTGGCCAACCGATGCCAACATCCCGAGCAAGATCTGTCGTTTGTGACAAACCACAAGCTCCTTTGTAATGTCCAGAATGAATCCTAAGGGGGGTTTGCAAATATTAATTTGGATTACATAACTTCTTGACTGTTGCTGGACATGGCTGGACATTTTGGTCCAATACTGTTTACGAGACCTACATACTGCAGCCGGTGCTGGTGTTCTCTTTTTGAGGTGATAGTACAGTTTCGGCAGGCGTAGAGATCGGCTGATCGTTTGTCACTATTCAAAGTTGACTGGATAGGGTGTATGATGTGGAAATGTACTAGATATGAGGACGAGATGCATCGCACTTCGTAGGTTTCCCGTCGTTCCAGCTTACCTAAGGTAATAGAAGTCCTTCCCGCAGGGGCCTGGACCGCTTGATCCCCCGCCAGCAGAGGTACCTGGGTAGCAAGGCAGGCAAGGACCTCCAGGCGGCGATCCAGTAGTGCGACAGATCTCCACAGTGGAGGTCCTCTGTCATCGTGGCAGCTTTCGCAGAGTAACTGCTCCGTAACTTCTTCTCTTGAATCTTTCAGGGTTGCTTCTCGCCGGCCGAGTAGTTACCCGACCTCTGCTTCTGCCTGCGCCCCGCATCCTGCTCCTGTCGGATCTGTCGAGATCGACGGGTCTTGGGGTTCGCGTAACCAACTAGCGGCGACGAGGCCGGACCAAAAGCATCCTTGCAGCTCGACGAGCTCTCAGTGAAGCTAGTTTGTAGCTGCAGGATGCATGCTCTGCTCACGCGACGAGCAATTCCCAACGACTAGACGACGCGCTGGAGGTTGTAGTTCAAGAATCTCCCGGTCATGGCCACCAAAGTGACTGGCGACGAAGTCAAGGACGGCGGCGCAGCCGATCATCTACGTCGCAAGACAGACGACATCCTCGAAGCATGCAAATGGCGGAATATCGAGGCCCTTGGAAGCCTTGCCAGCACACGAGGTGGCTTTCTCACTGACGATTTGCGCCGGAAAGCATGTACGTGGCCATCCCGTCAACTAGCAACCTCTCTGGTTAGCCTTCTAACACGGCATTTTGGGGGCAGGGCCCATACTGCTCGGACTTGCGGATAGCGAGGACTTCAAGGAAATAATTGCGACTGGTATAGACGAGACGAACTCGTGGAAAGACCTCCCACGCCACAGGGACGAGGACCAGGTCCAGCTCGACGTCAATAGAGCCTTCATTTACTACCCCAACCGTACGCTTCTCCTTGCGAAGACGGCCAAGCGAGTTTTGGCCCGACAGTCCCGTCCATGAGCTGACGACCCAACCTATAGACCAGTCTGACGCCGAACTCGACAAAAACAAGAGCGAGTTATCTGATCTGATCACCGAAGTCCTCCGACGATATCCATACCTGTGCTACTTTCAGGGCTATCACGACATTTGCCAGGTGTTTCTACTCGTACTAGAGCCGCCATGGCGTGCCCGTCTCGTGTCCCGCCTCTCCGTCCTTCGCATTCGCGACTTCATGCTCACAAACCTTGAGCCGACCGTTGCGCAGCTGCGTCTGATCCCTGACATTCTGAATGCTGCGGACCCCAAGCTAAAGCGACACCTCTCCGGCACCGAGCCTTTCTACGCCCTAGCCGGTACGCTTACCATGTATGCTCACGATATCCAGGCATATCGCGATATCGCCCGCCTTTTCGACATCCTCCTCACTCGAGAACCGGTCTTCAGCGTCTACATGTTCGCTCAAATCGTCCTGAATCGGCGAGACGAGCTCTTTGACAATGACGAAGACGACCCTTCCATGCTGCATCTGATATTATCCAAGGTCCCGCAGAAGATGGATCTCGAGGCGCTGATCGCCAGCACTACTGCGCTGTACGAGCGGTACCCTCCTGAGACTCTATCAGCATGGCGGCGGATATCAAAGGCGAGCTCACTGAAGACAGCGCGGTCCGTTGAACTCTGCGCGAAGCAGACAATGGACGAAGGATACAGCTTTTTCCAGGGGCAGTTGGCCGAGCTCCGTGCCCTGGAACGTCGGCAGAAGATACTGAGAACGCTTTGGGCGTATAGGAAGGGGGCAGCAGCAGCAGGTTTGGCTGTTGTTGTCGGACTGGTGGCAGTATATCTGCGCCGCAACAGCAGCCCGATCGCAGATGTGGCTGCCTGGTATGCGAAGTGGACAAACGGAAAAAACTGGACACACACCTTCTAGACGATGCTTGATAGAGTCTGAACCTTAGACGGGTAGGGAAAAGTGCCGCATGTAAATTTAAAGTCCTTGGTAGTAGAGAAGAACTACCGCACATATGATATCCCATTTGACTTACGCACCCGACGCCATGCCTGCCCACGCCGTAACAGTATGATTTGTGATGTTAAGCACCCTCCTGGAATGCCGTCTTGAGTTCTTCGAAATGTTCCTGTTGTTCCGTAGCCAGCTTCCCACTCACATCGCTGATGATGGTCGAAACCAGCGAGTAGTTGTTGTACAAAAACCGCTCGCGCTTCCGCTTGTCACCAAAGGATTGACTGTATCGAGTCAAGAAGGCTTCCGCTTCTGAACGCAACCGCCGTAAGCTAGTGACCACGGGTTCGTCATCACCTGCCTCGGCGCTGAGCGCCAAGACACCTTGTAGGATCTGGCCGAATCTTTGGGTGACAAGGTGAGGCGCTGCAGACAGCTTGTTCTGATCCGCAGCCTTGGGCTTAGTGGGCAGGGTGTTGGTGAGTTGCCGGACCGACTCGCAGTGGTGGTCCATGACAACCTGTAACCTAGGCCATAGGAGCATGGTAGTCATGTTGATATAGCTGTCAACGGCGGGAATCTTGCGTCGTTGTAGCTCAAACGCCAAGTGCTG